CTCTGCGAACAGATATTCGTGAAGCCGACGATGTCCGAGAAGAAGATGGTCACTTGTTCGTACGTCTCCGGCGGCACGTCGCGGCCGAACTTCAGCGCGTCTGCGATCGTCCTGCGGTAACCATAGAAACGAACTGACCGCTGACCTGAACGAGGGTGGGTGGCACGTGGGTGGGTGACACGTTTATGGGTAACTCGTGGTTGGTGATATTCTATATAAAAGGAAAACTTGCGTAAGTGGATGCAACGCTAAACAGTTTAACATAGCTCAAAACCTCAATAGTCCACAACTGGTACGTTGCCGCACAGGAAGCGAGGCTGAAACTTGCGTTCGCGTACTCAATCTTAAACCCGTACAGAAACCATGAGCAGTAGTAGAAGCAATAGACGAATGTAGCTAGTAGTAGAAGCAATACGCGCAATAGAACCACTGCACACGGTTGCATGTACATATAACCGAACACTTTTTCCGGAAACGCACTGAAAGATAGATAATCATACTCAAGCAAGAAATCGTGAAAAAAATCCCGAATCGATAACGCTCGCTGTGATTTTTCACAGGCGTAGCGTAGGCGAGTGACGACACGTGCATCGATAGAATGTGTGAAGATTTAGAACGTGGCTCGATCGATTGCTTCCCGCTATCGCCTGAATAAGCTGTTAGTGTTTCCGTACAGAAGCGGTGACCTGCACTCGCCCACTGTTCCTTTGTCCGTTCACTTTTCGGTAATCGGACAGACGAGTTCGCCATCGCGTCGGCAATGAGTCATGAAATCTCGCGAGGGCCTCACGCCATTATCAGCGACAATAACACGAAAGCTGTGAGCGCTCGCGTGCGTGCGTGCGTGCGTGCGTGCGTGTACCGGATACTGTTTCAGAATCATCACGCTCAATATAATTTACAGGGGCGTGGCTAACTCATTTTGCCCCGCGAAGGCCGCATACGGTGTTTGTTCATGTTGCCGTTCGTCATTGACCATGCAGGTAATAAAATCTACATTGGTTTGGGGGGAGTGCAATTCTCCCCCTACTTGTCCTTCCGTTAGTTATGGAGCCTGCATTAATAGCGTATAACTTGGCCCGGGCAACCTTACTGGTTAAGTCTTATAACTCCAGTGAAGTTTCTCAATTATCGTAAAAGAATGAAAAACGATGGAGAAAGACAAACATACAAATGAACAGACGTACAGACAGAGTGGCCGTCGAATTGACAATCAAATAGACAGAAAAATAGAAACTCAGACAGGCAAGTAGGCAGGCAAGCAGGCAAACAGCCAACCAGTCAGCCAGTCAGAGAGACAAACTCGCACATATACACACACGCACATACACACACACACACACACACACGCGCACACGCACACGCACACGCACACGCACACGCACACGCACACACACACGTGCCACGCACGCACGCGCCCAATAAAGGGAGAAAGAGAGAGCGCGCAATAGAGAGAATTAGGGTGAGGAATAGGAAGGGGTTTAGAAGCTCACGCGGGCAGCAGACGATAGAGCAGCACGTCCGTCTTCTTCTTCTCCTCTATCAGCATCTTCGTGCGCTCGTTCACCGTGCTCTCCAGGTTGTTGGCGTGCGTCTCCATCATCTTCAGAACATTGTCCATGATGTTCGTAGACCTGTAACCGCAAGAGGGCGTTGTTGTGAGCGGATGGTGACATGCGTGTGATGACGTGTGTTTAAAGATCCTACAAAAGAGATATCGTGCTGTAATAACCAGGAGGCATAACCCTTTGACTTTGTACCTCTCACGTATTTATTTTCCCTCTTTTTTCTCCTCCTTATCCTTCTTCCTCCTTCTTCTGCTCCTCCTGCTCCTATTCCTCTTGCTCTTCCTCCTCTTCCTTCTCTTCCCCCGTTTCCTTCTCATCCTCCTCTTCCTTTTCTTCCTCCTTCCCCTCTTCATCCCCCATCTTCTTCTTCCTCCTCACCCTCCTCTCCTCCTCCTCCCTCCTCCTCCTCCTCCTCCTCCTCCTCCTCTTCCTTCTCGACCCCACCAACAACGAAGCACTTACTTGTCGCCGAACACGTTTCTCAGTTCCCTGCGGATGGCGAAGAAGCTGGGTCGCCTCTCCGGCTCCTCGCTCCAGCACTGGCGCATCAGGCGCACGAGCGACTCCGGGCACTGCGTGCGGTCGGCGTCGTTCAGTACGGGACGATACGGCGGCGTCTCCCGAAGCTCAACGCGCTGCACGATCTCTGGCGAGCGCGCGCGGAGCGGGAGCATGGCGAGCAGACGAACGAATTTCACAGTGAGACGGGTTACGACGTAGAGCGACGCGAGGCGAGGCGAGGCGAGGCGAGGTGAGGCGAGGTGAGGTGAGGTGAGGTGAGGTGAGGTGAGGTGAGGTGAGCTAAGTAAAGGTAAGCTAAGGTAAGCTTAGTTAAGGTAAGCTAAGGGAAGGTAAGTAAAGGTAAGATAAGTAAAGGTAAGCTAAGGTAAGCTAAGTAAAAGTAAGGTAAGCTTAGTTAAGGTAAGCTAAGGGAAGGTAAGCTAAGCCAAGCTAAGTTGAGGTAAGCTCAGTTAAGGTAAGGTGAGGTAAGGTAAGTTAAGCCAAGCTACGGTAAGGTGAGGTAAGGTAAGTTAAGCCAAGCTAAGTTAAGGTAAGCTCAGTTAAGGTAAGGTAAGGTAAGGTAAGGATATGGCGGTCGCATTATCACCGAGGCGATACTAACCATCGAATTCCTTGTTGTTGTGGTCGTACGGAGCCGCCCTGATGATGATCTCAGATAGGATGATACCGAAGCTGTAGACGTCGGCTTTATGAGTGCCCTGGTAGGGCGGTGTCGGCGTGCGAAGTAGTTCCGGGGCCGCCCACAGCAGCGCTGGTGTAGCATCGAACAGGAGCGATAAACACGTGAACAGTACACCCGATAGCTAGCGCTGCTGTTTTAGAACAAAGAAAAACGCGAAAGGGAGCAAAGAAAGAATACGTATTTTCTTGGCCACGTATGTACATTGCTGGCTTCGTTTCCCCACGCATTGTACAGGCATTCTCTACATATTTACATCTATTCTCAATGTATTTACATTTAATTCTCCGCATATTTACATCTATCCCGCTCCACGCGAGTTCCACTCTCCGGGTACCGCGTAAATCGCGTGTACGCGTCTATATTAACACTGACTCTTGCCTCCGGCACATACATTTCTTGTCCATGTAGGCTTCGGCAGTGTCTAGCGGGATCGTGTAGTAGTGCGGTCCGTAGTCGGTGATCTTTAGCACCCAGCGCGAGTCGATGACGCAGTTAGTTGACTTCAGGCGACCGTGAGAGCTGAGGAACTGAGTCGTGTGCAGGTACTCCATGCCCTAGCGGCGACAAAACGAAATGCGACACTCGCGCGTGGTGACGATGACGACGTGCATTGCCTACGGTCGTCGCAAATGTGTACGGCTTCCTCGCATTCGGCGTGTAGATTTATTTAACGTTAAACGTTTCCCCGCGTCACTCCTATATGGTGAAAGGAGATATAGATGGTTATAGGGGGGTTTACCTTAACGAGGTCGAAGATGAAGGAGGAACGAAAGTTCCAGTCTAGCTTTGTGTCTTCGTGCTCGAGTATGTCGTATAGACTTCCCTTGTTACAGTACTCCATCACGATCGATCTGTTGTCGCCCTCCATGCACATGCCGATAAACAGGTTGACGTTGTCGTGTGACATGTCCTTCAGCTGTTAAGGATGACAGCGAGGACGTGCGAAACTCATTCGTAAACAACTGCTTCACTGCAGCCTTCACCCGCCTGCTGCTACTCCCACTCGTTCTGCTCCTCGTCCTTCTCACGTGCCTCCTACGCCTACATCTCCTCCTTTCTTTTCACCTCCTACTCCTCCCCCTCCTCCTCATTATCATTATCCTGCCCACTCTTCTCACCTTCTTCCCCCCCTTTCTTCTCCGCCTCCTCCTCTTCCTCCTCCTCCTTCTTCCTCCTTCTTCCCGTCCTTCTCCTCCTCCTCCTCCTCCTCCTTCTCCTCTTCATCCTCCTCCTCTATCCGTCATTCTCATCTTCCTCTACCTCCTCCTTCCTCTCTTCCCCTTCTCCTCCTCCCTGTATTCCTTATCCTCCTCATCATCATTCGTTCTTAGCATTTGTTTTTCTGCCCTCTCTCCATCATCGACATCCTCCGCATACGTCTTCTCATCTCATCCTCATTTCCTAGCTCTCCATGTCCCGCCTCCGCCTCCGCCTCCTCACCACCTCCTTTCTTCTTTCTTCTCCGACTATTTCTTCCCTCTACTCTATGTTCTCCTACTCCGTTGCTGTATTGCCTTTTCCCACGTTCCTCTCCCGCTATCGTCCTAGCGATCTGCCGCCTCAAGCAACCCAACCTCCTCACTCATAAACCATTCCACCTTAAACTAATCAAATTACTTCATCTTACTCACTGTTAAACCACCATCGACGCAAAAGTTGAACAAGGCTTCGCAATGCGAAACAAAATTAGTCTTAACATTAGCCTTGACATTAAAATGTTTCTCGTAGACTTTTTACTGAATTTTGTTTTGCAAAGTTATGGCGGATATTTTGTAGAATTTCTCATTCTCGTAACTTTACGATGCTTCTGTCATCAGCGGTCTTAGGTAAAATGTTAATGTTAGGGGTTGTTACGACTACTTTTGTTTTTGACAACGACCTCCAGGACCGCATCCCTCACGCTATCCCTGCCATAATAATATGCGTTGTCTCTACACAAGCATTCCCGTCGAAAATAAAAACGAAATATATTCAAACGCAGCGCCGAATCCTACAGAAATAACTCAATGAACGATGACCTCTCCCAGCCACTGATCTCTACTATACTAACTCTATAAGTTAGTATAATCGAGATCAGTGCTCCCAGTCCGCTAGATCACGTGAGCCACTAGCGGATTAAGGGCGGGGCAACAGGTGCACGTGCTCCGGGCCCCCCACATTTGGGGCCCCCCACATTTAGAGTATCCTAAAATTTACAAAACTGTCGTAATTGTGATCCACAAAATTCTTAGCGTGTAACGTTGAAGTGATGCGTTTCCCATGCTGTTTCTCTGACTGAATTTTGCTGTTCAGCTGATATGAAGGACACTTTCCCTAATACCGAAATTGCTCTGAGAATCTATCTTTCATTGATGGTCTCGAATTGTAGCGGTGAAAGGTCATTTTTAAAACTCAAGTTGATTAAAAATCACATGAGAACCACGATGAGCCAACAGAGACTGGTAAACCTCAGTATTCTCGCTATCGAAAGTGACATTTTAAATTCGTTGAAACACGATGAAATACTCTCTGAATTTGCAAGCATGAAAGTGCAGAAAAAATACAGACTATAGGACCCCCACACAATTGCGTGCCCCGGGCCCCCCACACGCTTAGTCCGGCCCTGACGTGAGCCGATGTGACGTCACCTCCTTGAGCAGCAGCAGCTCCTCTCGCGGCACGTGGAACTGCTCGCGCGTGAGCCGCTTCAGTACGGCCATGCGACCGCGGCACATATAGAGACGCGACAGCAGCGCCTCGTGTTTCTGTCGCAGGCTGTGCTCGACCGCCTGGGTGTCCTCTAGCGAGGCGGCCGTCTGCAACATGTGCGAACAAACGCAGCGCGTCAACACGCGATGACGAGATGCGACCGAGTTACGTGTTAACGTGTTTACTACGTATTATAATGATGTAATGATATACTAATATAATAATAGTACATAATAATATATAATATATAATATATGATATAATGTATAATGAGATATATGAGAGAAGCGCTCGTTGTCACGTCTGCTATACACGAAAGTTTCCCATATCCAACCACAGCCACGACTCCCAACACACCTATACTAGTTCCGACAACAGCGACGACGCTGATGCTGACGCCAAGAGCCACGACGCTGACGCTGACGCCAACAGCCACGACGCTGACGCTGACGCCAACAGCCACGACGCTGACGCTGACGCCAACAGCCACGACGCTGACGCTGACGTCAACGTCCACGACGCTAACGACAACAATAGCCACGACTCTGACGACAGCGACCACGACGGTGACGCTGACGCTGACGTCAACATCCACGACACTAACGCCACCAACGGCCACGACGCTAACGTTGACGCTGTCGCTGACGCTGCGGTACTTACGATGCTGACTGAGTTCGAGCTGAAGGCTCGCAACTGCTTGGTGTCGATCGGCGTTATCTCGTCGCTCTTCAGCTTCCACTGCATCAGCATCAGCTGCTCCTCGTTCTGCTTGCGTCTGCAACAGTAATCGCGTGCGGAGAGTGCGGAGGATGGGGAGCAGGTAGGAGTAAGTGCACGGGCGTGGTGTGTGTGTGTGGGGCGAGGGGGAGGTAAGGGTACGGTTACGGGTAGGAGTAAGTGCACGGGCAAGTGTACGTGTGTGGGGCGAGGGGGTGCATTTAACTCTCTGCTTTAATGTCACGGAATAACGCATGCGCAGTGTGTTCATTTTAGGACTTCAAACATTTTCTACGACTCACTCAATACTATATATATATTGATCGGAAATTCAGAAACTCGGAAACTCAAAAAGTCGCATGTCGTCTCAGGTCTTCCATATAATGTCGTGTGTAAAATTCAGCACATACCGAAGCAGCACGCTTGCAATAATCGCCCCTATCAGAAATATCGTACCGCCGACCGCGCCACCAATGACCTTTATTATGCTTCCATCTGTCGAAAATGAAAAGCACATAGAGCAGCAACGCGCTATAATTAATATATAATGATTACTCATGCAGCTGCGAACAACGTGAATATAAATTGTCAATCATGTGATGAGTCTATTTGACAGGTATGGCTGACGACATATTTGAACGTAATAAATAGTGTGCGACCTCGCTAGTTAGGGTATTACCAATGGAGGAATAGTTAGCTTTAGTGTGTGTACTGAGCGAGACACGCATAAGGTATATACGGATATAGACTTTCCGACTGCTCACCGGTTTCCTCTCGGCATTTCTCGTTGAAGAATCCACAGACAGGTATACTCGGAGGCGGTTTGTTACCCGGGGTCTTCCAGAAGTTTGGATAAAACCAACTGACGGTCTGAAAGTTTATCAGTTACTTTGCTCAGTATGTGACACTCACTGCAATGGTATCTAGGAGAACGGCTGTGATTCCACTCGCGAAAGCAGACGCCCCGTACGTGAGGCTCCTGGCGAGACGACCCGTCTACTACCTTATCAAAGATGATGTTAATAATTCGATCTCAGGCGGCGATCAGATGCGACATATCTGAGATGGGACAGCGCGAAAGGTCGCGAAGTATAGCTAATGTGTCTCAACAGTCAGTCAGCCTCAGAAGGCCACTTAGAGAACACGATTAAAAAAACACGATTGAACATATTTCGACGATAAATTAACCGTTAAATGAGCCACGTGGTTATTTGTAGAAAAAATGCGCTTGACGTTAATGAATGAATACGACGTTTAGTGATCACGACTTTATCTACACTTGAAATTCCCGTTACATGAGTCAATCAACAAGAATTTCACATTATGATGCATCACACACGAACAGCCAGTTTCTTGGATCGTAACTATGAGGAAGAAGTGTGAAACAATGCGTGCAACAATAAGCGCAAGTATAGCCTCGTTCACACGAGACCTCGTATTTACGAA